ATTTTATCCATTCATAAATAGGCCTATGGTCATAATTCCCGAACTATAGGGTTACAGTACACATGCAGTTGGAAATGTGAATCACAAAAAAAGATGAGCATTTACCAGTCGAAAAGTCCATTTAAACTTATGGTTGTCGTTTTTTTTTAAAGAAGAAATGTGCTGTTCAAAATGGTTTCTCCCGCTATCCCTCTAAATCATGGTTTATCTCGCAATGCTAGCTACCATAACACATAAACCCTGGCAGTAAATCCTTGGCCAGCGGTCCCGTGTTTTTACGACATGGTTGTATAACCTTATTACGACAATGATGGCCCATCCATTCTGCAGGAGAATTGTCAGTTGGATGCTTTTAATTCTGGATTAGAAACCGTTATGGTAGAGCGCGGTTCCGCTTTTGGCACCATCAAAACACTTTTACAGGCGTGTTTGCCCGATACTTCGCGTCTTTTACCGACCTCTCGATGTTCGAAACACGGTTTATCGACTTCGGTTTTTACCTCCAGACCCAGCGGCTTAAAAAAAAAGTCTGGAAAAAAATGCAACCCTACGAGGCAATTTGGCTCATTTAAACAGGCGCCGACTTGGCTTGCACGGAGGCCCGCAGATGACCGGACCCCGACCCAGCACGGTCAACGGCAAATTAATTCGTCGGGTGATTTGAATGGAAGCGGCAGGGGCTATTTATTCCGGCTATACATGTACCGTACGTATACGGCTTCAGTTTATGTAGGCCTTTACACCGCACGCATCACATGCATTGAACAGACTGAAGACCGGCATTTAGGCGTTCGGGTTTCAGGACGGGCCCATTAAAAAGGCTGTACGGAGAATCCTTGAATTGGAGTCCGTTTGTTTTGCACAATTCATCAATTTGCCCTTCTCATTGCGCCAAGAGTAAGTACATGAGTGATGCAGTGAATCATTTTGAAGCGGTCTTTTTTTCCCTTCTCTTTTACCATCGAGCTTTGCCTTTCACGCAACGTTGACCCGCTGGACTTCCGCGCGGTCCTTTCTCTCTGTGTGCCTGGCGCTAGAATGCCGAATGCCCTCAGGGATTAGAATCTTCCATTTGCCGAAATGGGAGTGAGTCATTTAACTTGCCCTATATTCAACCAAGGACAATCAAGCCTCACTAATGTAGTGGCTTTAATATCAGGAGTACGAAATAAAATTGGACTTAAAAAACACCAAGTTGTGAATAAATGGAATGATAATCGAATCCATGTCCCAATTATTTCGCTTTCTCAAATTATTATAAAGGAAGGTTGCCGGACCGACTTAATAATCTCCCCTATTTTGCGAATGAGCATTACCGTCGGCCTAAAGTCAGCTCTGTTCTGATTGGTGCGGCTTCTCCTTTGAGGAAACGTCACTGCCCTTTGGGAGCCATCGGGCGGCGGGCATGTGCTTTGATGTGTTGCACTTTGAAACACACAGAAAAAAACTTCTCGCTTTCGAAGACGCTACCCCGAAAGTGGAGGTCAGAACAAATCTGCTTTACTCCCGAAATTTCAGGGCTTTTGGAGTGGTATTCCTTGCTCCAGACCCTTGCTTGGACTGAACACGAGTTGTCTTCACGAACTCTTTGGATGATAAACGCACTGGTTGATGGCTGATCAGCGTTTGGGGTGAGTGAATGAACGCTTTGTTGACTGTGCAGTGGTGGGGGATTACTGCCCGGCATGCATGCTGTATGCATTTACCAAAGGGGCCAACTTGCCGTGTTCAACGGTCATGCATGTACGATCGGGGGGAAAAATTCTCGCATGGCGGTTATCGGGCATAAAGCGCTTGTTGATAGCTACACTGTAGGCCGGCAGTCCATGGCCGAGCAGGGATAGATTAGCCAGAAATGGGGATAATTTGCCGCGTTTTGAGTTGGCTGGGAACATGTTAAACCATGGCTGTTTCGATTCGGACTTGGCACACATGAAGCCTAATCTACAGCGTGTTGTGTCAATGAGTGTGGCGGCGCGGTACCGGCACGGTACGGTGAGTATGCATGGTTATTCCGTACATGTACATGTGAATTTGTCATGTTGGTGTAGTACACGTTGATGATGTGTTTTGCACATGTTCAAACTAGGAATTCTCCATAATGTTAAGTGTTGGTCATGGTTATGCGACTGATTTGAACACACTGAGTTGTGATATGAGACAAAGAAGGTATGTGGTTTTCAACTTCAAGTCGTACACGCTGAACCGTGGATTTTGCTTACTCAAAAACTGCATTATTTATGATGCATTGTGGGCTATCCGAGAGGAATCAATGAAATCACCATCTACACTTTTCTTTTCTTCGCTCAACTTTTCTTAAGCATAATTATTATTCAAAGGAGAGACGTACACATAAAGACGTACACATTTAAACGGGACGAAAAAATATTCCCCCCAAAATTATTTATGTACACATATTCTGTATAATTTAAAGTACTTTCTTCTTGATTAATTTTGTGAGATCAGCATTTATTATGTAGTGCTCACAGCAATGCTCGACAGTATGGTCACAATTTGGATGTTGTGTTGGATCAGATAAAATAGTTCGGCATGAACTAGGTTAACTTTCTAGTTCAATGTCTATCTCTTGTATTTATTCAAGTAACAAAATAAGTGGTTAATCAGTGTGATATTTTATGTACCTTTTTTTTTTAAATAAAAGAGAATAAATTGAATTTTAAAAAGAATTGTGAATAAAACCAATAAGCTTCAAGTACATGCTATTGGCACACGGTGTTCACCAAAGGCTCGTTCACATTTTACATGTATGCAGGCGCCAAAACCATTGTGACAAAACTCTTGCGACACAATGTTTCCTAATCATTGATACTTTTAAGATACGCTGACAGAACATCACAAAGGCCCAAATAAAAACACCCAACCACTTTGCCCAACTGTACTACCTTAATCGACCTTGGCTTCCTCATCCGCACAAACAGTCGTCAGCCGGATCATACTGCAGCAGCGTACTTACTGGAGGAAACACTGCACCTCCAAACATGCCGAATAAATTACGGGTGCAGTTTACCCCGTCCAGCGCAGGCCTGGAGTATCTGATTCGATTTTGCTTCCTGACCAAGTTCAGATGAATATCGAGATACCTAAGGATGATTGTGGCCATTGTAATCATTTCACCCATGTTTTCCATTACAGCACAGATCACAAATAAATATTGAATTGTGTGGAAACGTAACACTAGCATGATACGTGAGACTGCTCAGTTATGCGTAATAAGTGGGCCAATGCTTTACAGGAGCAATTTTGAAAATAATACCTCGCATTATAATTTAGGAATTCTGACGACTGCGTATCACATGGACAAGGCTTTTTTTCCTTTCTGAGTACTAGCTCTACGGACGTGTAGCCTACAGGACTCACTGCTCCTCGGTGGAAACCAAAGACATATTACGACTTGATCAAATCAGACCTTGATCAGCCACACAAGTCATTGCTCTTGCCCGCAGGCCCAGAGTTTTATTTCTGAATTAAGTCGGGAGATGCCTGCGAGATGACCTTGTGCCAGGGATTAAAGTGGTTTCTAGCTGGCAGACTCCCATCAAATTTCCTGCGTTATGCACAATGTGAAGGACAAAGTGGAATGTGGATTGCCGACGAGTTCATGTTTAATTAGTCTGTTGGAGAGTGTTATGAAAAGAGAATTGGACGCGAAATAGAACTAATTATTTATAGGTTGGAAAAAAAATACTGACCGCAATCTGATGTGAGTTTCTAATTGAAGCAGCAGTGAAAGCGATCAGTGGCCAATTTTCGTTGAGCTGCTGTTTTTATTTCAAATTTCCGTGTTTAGCAGCGCTGCGAATTCAGCCCATGGTGGACTTTAATTACAGAGTGTTGATTGTCTTTGCATGGCAAAACCATTTTCCCAGACAGTTTTAGAGGTGTTGAGGTTTAGGGATGAGGGGGGAAGTAGAGCTCATTTCACACTCATCAGTCAATTTGTCTGTTGAAATCCGCCCTGGGAGTTCTTGCAGTGACCTCAGTCATTGCATTTGTGCTGCCCGGGTGAGCTCTAACACGCACTGGTTGTCACAGTAATATCGGCAGTTCAAAATATTACTCTCGGGTAATTGTCCTAGACTTCATTCATGTGGGTAAAATATTTGGGAGCTAGCTTATCCCAAAGCACGTTTAATATTCAGAACACGATTTTGGGAAGGTTTTTGTCTCGTTCATAAAAAAAAATGAAATTCAGTGTTGATACAGTGGCCAGGATATATGCAGGATTACCATGTGTAATAATATATTTGTTGGAAATATTTATGAGAAGGCTGCCTACATACAATCCATAAGTTTTGTGTGCCTTTGTAAAATGAACTGATTTAGGAGTTTCTCTAAAATGTTAGGTTAATGTCACAAACTGTTGTTTAAATTTAGGACCTGGATGTAAACATACCGGGTACATATAAGAATTATAAAACTTCTATTTTTGTTTGGATGGTTGTGCAGAGCTCCAACATGGCCATTTTGTGATTGCTGGTTTGTACTGCATAAGTGCATAGATGGAACCCTTTTTACATTATACATGTAGCTGGGGCATGTGGTGATGTGTGCAGTGTGCCCAAATTCCTGAGTGTTACATAACAGGGCCCTATTCATTCTGGCAGGCACACTCTTGGGTACACTCAAGCTAGCTCCATTACCATTTGCATATGGGATTATTCATTAACATAATTCTTTGTCTCTTCTGTTGTTGCAGGTCCATTCAGCGGGTGAGCTGTCTCAATAGGAGTTGTGCATAGTTGGCTGGTCATCTATTGAGCAAAGTGGCCCAGCGCAGTGTGGGAAGGTACCCCCTCTGAATAGGCGGCTGAATAAAGGTTCTTGTTGTGCTGGTTTCATCGCTGTGTCGGCATCCCTGCTGAGATTTTTCCTCTGCGGTGAATGAAATACACTTTTGTCGCTGGGAGAAGCTTAAAACTTTGCTGACAACTCATGCCGTCGACTGGCAGCAGGCTGAAACGTGCGCATTCCCCGGCGCCATGACACTTCAGGTATACCACTACATGGCAGATTGTGGTGGAAACTTCACGGAGAACCTGCCCACTAGCCAACGGCCGCCCGTGCCCGGTGAGGAAAATGAAACGGCATCGACGGGTCCCGCCGGCATCAGCAAGGAACGGTCACCTTCAGCCACGCCACGTCGGTCCACGCTCGTGGCAAACATGAAGGCCGGACTCAGAGGAGATATGGACGAGGATGAAGCCCCGTTGGGGTTTGAACCTGAGGGGTCGGCATCGACCACCCCACCTTACACGCGCTGGACGGAGAGTCTGCACGCCTTGCTTTCCGACGAAGATGGGATTTGCCTATTCAAGCAGTTCCTGGTGCAGGAAAAGGCCCAGGACCCGCTCTTGTTTTGGCTGGCAACTGAGGGTTTCAAGAAGAAATCGGCAGACGACCCCAAGCGGAATGAACTAGCTAAGGTCATCTACAAGAAGTTTGTGAAAGCGGATGGACAACAAGTGGTCAAGCTTTCCTCAGCGTTGAGAACTAACATCGCAGGAATGGTGCGTAGCTCAGTGTTTGACGAGACCTTGTTTGATACAGCTCAGGCGGAGGTGGAGGAACACATCCGGGAGTCGACCTACCCGATGTTCCTCAAGTCCGATTTATACGTGCAATACATAAACAATGGTGGAATTAGCCCCAAGAGTAGCGAGTGCAGCTCCAGTGGGGGCAACTCCAGGATTACAGGGTACCTGCCGACGTTGCCAGAGGATGCGGAACTAACGGACATCCCAAGCGGAGACGCTGCTGCCACCAATCAGGGACAGGTACCTCTCACCATGGAGATGCTCATGAAGACATCATTTCATCGCCATGGTACGAGTAAGACGCAGGAAGGGTAAGTGTCATTTTCTCCAGTCGCCTTTGTGAGACATAATGGACACAATGAGGGCGCTGTTTGGAGCGGTCAAATGCGAACGCAGTTTACCTATGAAGGGCCCTCCTGTTGTGTATCCCCTATCTCAAAAAGGCCATGTAATGTTAAGCATTCCTGCAATTTCATTTTGTGGAGAAGCATCCAGGCCTTGAGAGAGTTATTCAAGGCAAATGTGCTAACCCCATGCCAGTTCATGGATGCTGTCATCTCTGCTTAAACAGCACATTTGACGCAAAGCACGCGTATGGGCAAAATGATATAGCATGCCAATTTGCCGAACCTCTACTCTCCGGCCCTGGGATACATTACATGGCCGGTTTTTTTTTATGGGACCGAGATATTTCAGTATCTGCAGATGGTGCTTCATATGAATTCAGCTATGTTTGGAAGTCACTTCTGGCCAAAAGAAAATGTCTGGCGTATTTTGTTGAGACTTTCTCCTACTTGAGGGGTTTTATGTTAACAAACTTGTTCTGATATTCCTGCAAGGGTGAAAATGTACATGTACGTGTAGCCTTTGTTGGGCACACCCAACTTGCTGACTGCTAGATGTCATGTTTCGCCGGACTGGCTCCCATCCTTCTGCGAGATAATTCACTGGGATTATGGAAAGAAGGAAATTGCCCTTTAGGTGATAAATTAAGTGAAAAACAAACAGCAGCCCCGCTCCATTTATGCCGGGTGTTTATTCCATTGACTTAGGAGGTGTATGTGTGTTTACGAGGATGTTTACATGCACTTGAACAATTTATATCCCTGGGTTCAAACAAGTTCAGTGCTGAGCCTACCTTTCTCGGAGTGCACACACACATGGCACGTTTGGGCTTCTCACACATGGCGCAGATATTTTATGGCTTTGTGTGCAAAACATTTATATATCTGGTTTATGTTCAGTTTTTTGGGGCATTGTCCAGTCGGGGATAAACAGTCGGATTTAATTAAATCTTTAAAGGGGCAGTAAGAAAATTATCTCTAGATCCCAACTTCTTTTTTCAAACTAATTTTTTTGTCTTAAAAATTTTAGTCACTGCAAATTGTATGTGTACATGTACATGTAGATAAATTTATATTCAGAGCATAAATTTCCTCAGAGTGAAGTTCTACCTGAAGTCGTTTTTTTTGTGGGTTTTTTTTTGGGGGGGGGGGGGGGGAGGGGAGGGGTGTGCAGAATGACTGAAGGGATTTAGGTGAAATTTATTTTGATACAAACTTTGCACAAGTCCGCATTATCATAATATGTGAATACAAAGTGCAACCCGAGTTTTTCATTTGCTGCACGTAGCCCAGCATATGGCCGGGTCGGTTAGAGTTGCTGCACAATTACGACATGTCCGGCAGAATAATTTTTTTGTAGCGAGTAACCTTTGTTTCATGATAAGGTACAAGTAGCCAAACATTACTGCGATATCTGGGCCATTGTTTACCTTGCTTGATAATCCATGTAAGGCACCTATCTGCGGGCACTGCCTAGCGACCTCACACACACACTTGAACTATTGGACTCCGAAATCCTTCCTGTTTTTTTCTCGATTTATTTTTGTTTAATAATTTGTGTACCCGTACATGTAATTTTGTTATTTTGCTGTACATGTGTACAAGAAAGAACAATGTGATTACGGTATGTGTGTACATGTACAGAAAGTGAATACACATGAATGAATGACTGTGTATTATGTGGATATCATCACCTCGTGTTTATCCACAGCGTACGCCAACATTAAATTCATAAAACTGCAACTGCACAAACAAAATGGTGGGCCATGGCGCCAGTAGACAGATAACACGTGCATACATCCTCTTTGCAAGTGAATTTTTTTATTTTCTTTTTAAGAAGCATGTATACATGACCATTGCAATTCAACGCAGGCATTTTGATCGTCTTATCTTACATTCGGGCAGTGCATGCAAATGCCTCCCAGGAAGCTGGTTGGATTGTGACTCACAGAATCAATTACATTGTATGTTTGCTGCAGATGCGCTGAATTTAAAGGTATAGACCATTATCGTGTTGCAGCCATTTGATTTTTTTTCCCCATTCAAATCCATGTTACCTAATCGAGGCTGGAGGGAAAATAGTCTGGTTCCTTTTTTTGCACAAGAACAGTATCGTTCAGTACTGTCATTGGATACAGGGAACATGACTAAAATGGTGGAAGCTTGATAGACCTTTATCATGCTGCCACCATTTCAGTCATGTTTCCTGTATCCAATAACAGTACTGAATGATCAGGTTTTTGTGCAAAAAGGAACCAGACTATTTTTTTCTTCCAGCCTCGCTTTGGTTGACATGGATTTGAATGGGAAAAGATCAAGATGGCGGCAACATGATAATGGTCTATTATAAAACATTTTGCCTTTTCTGAATTAATATGCAGCAATGGATCATTCGGGGGCTAGTGTTTTAAAGCACATATTGTTACGCTGACCCGTTTAAAGTTTTGTGTGCGTGGATGCTGGCAAAACTAAAGGAAAACTTGCTGTTCTTGTAGTCTGGTTCCTACTTCCCTGACTCCTACCGTACTTCAGACGAAACAGCAATTTATAGACGTCGGGAAATGTCAGGTCAGGGAACCAGACTAGCTGGCTTGCACCCCTTCATGGTGTAACCGACTGCAAACAAAATAAGGACTAACTAAATTTGGTAAATTGGGGGCAGAGTTTGAAGGGGGAAAAAAAAAATCACTTTTTCAATTTTTCCAACGATGGTCAGCCGACCATCGTTGGAAATATTGAAAAAGTGATTTTTTTCCCCCCTTCAAACTCTGCCCCCAACGATGGTCAGCCGACCATCGTTGGAAAATGATAAAATTTGACCATTCTTGAAAATGACAGCATATCAGGTGCCCTTATTTCACAGGGTGCTTTAGACAATTATTCACTTGCAGTCAAGTAAGCTATTTCATAATAATTTGATAGTTTTGTTATTTGATGTTTGCAAATGTTGTATGTTACCTTTAAGCATTCTGCATCAAACAGAGGAGTGGCGAGTCTATACTGTTGACCTCCTTGTCCATACGGATACATGTGGCTCTGAATTTTCAAAACTTATACCGGTGGTATAGTTTGGGGCTGTGTTAGTCCAGCTTCATTAAATTAATTAAACAGTCCTACTTCATTCAAACTATGCGGACATCCGCAATAGCAATAAAAACTCGACAATCGTTCACTTTGCAATTGTGACTTGTTTAGAAATAAAGTGTCCCTTTGATCAGGAAGAAATTTACTCTCACAGTTAAATTCATTTCTTCGGGTTCCTTTTCGAAAACACATCTAACTGAAATCTTTGCACTCATAAAAAAGGGACATTTCATATAATGTCTTCAGATGGTCCATAAACTGCCCCAACTATTGGCATCGGCACCAACTGGAATGTAAAAAAAAGAACTGGTCATTTTAGTTAAACGAAAGGCCACAGACAAATAAAATAACTCACAAAAGATCAGCGGATAATAAAAAGCGAGGCCGTAAAACTGCCGGGCCATAAAGTTTCCCTGCAACTACCTTGAAATGGCCCCCTGCATTAAATGAGATAGCAAATGGTGGCCAGTCCATTGAACTGATTGAATAATACTGCTTCTTGGCCCAGGATGTATTATGAGGTCGGCAATTGCAGGCAATAAACCCAATGCAGTGTAATTGCATTGTCTGGCCCCTAGTGGTTCCCAGTTAAGTTTGTCTAGAGTTAATTTTAAGTGCTTTTCATTCTCTGATGGAATAAATTCCCCTTTTTTTTGGGGGGGGGAGGTTGTTGCCATCAAGGCCGAATCAACAAGCCCGGTGCACTGCAGTTCAGGAAACTGGGTCTGCTCTTCCAACATTCAGAACGTGTGCACCGTGCATAGGATTTTGTGGGTTTTTTTGGTTAAATCTGCCCAGCGCCAAAAAAAAAGAAGCAGCGTCAGTGCTGGGAAGTCAATGTGGAGATATACTGGTGGGTTGCTTTTGCAATTACGGAGGGCACATAGCGCGGATGGTTCCCCTCGACCTTACTGACCCAGCCAGTTAAAGCCAATCTCTTTTGAGCCAAGAAACCTGAATTCCCATGTTGCGATTTCTGCCATCTGCGCAATGCATAATCAGTCCGCAGCTAGCAGCTTGCCTGTTATGTTCTACAATGAAACTTTGTCCCTACAGCTTCTCTCCCCCCCCCCCCCAAGTGCTTGTGTGGCAAGAAGGCCAGCGAGCGATAAGAAGGGGGGACCTTGAAGGGACAAAGCCCAGTTCTTGCTTCACTTCAGGGAAAGCTGGCCCCCTCGGTCTCTCCTGGGATCACAACCAATTAGGGACAGCCCAGAATAGGCTGGAGAAATTGTTAATTTCAAGTCTGTATTTCCACTATGTATCATGATTGATATCGTGGAGAGTCAGGGACCTAGGTCTGTGATAGTGATCACTAAAAAAAAAAGTTCTACCAATTAAATTAACTGGATGTGACCTTAAAATTTAATGTTCATCCCTGTTAAGTGTTATGCCTGTGAGTGTGAACCTGTTTTTGCCCCAAACACATGTCTGAAACTACGGCATAAACTCTCAATTGAAGAAGATTTTGGCTTTGACGATCAGAAAAACAGGCCATGTGATTACCCTTCATACTGTAATGCATGTAGGCCCCCATAATGAACACAAATTCCACACTAAAACAATTTTTGTGTAGAACTGCTGGAAAATTGCTGTAGAAAATGAATCCAGCGTTTGGAATGGAGGGATCATGTACAGATTCAGCCACTTATTACTGCCTCCTGGAAGGCCAGTATTGAATTCAAGGGGAGGTCAAGGGTCAGGGTCTAAGAGGGCAGCACTTAGCCATTAGCTTCTGCAGGATATATATCTGAGTTTAGGAGGCCGGGGAGGTTCTGGGTTTGGGATTTCCAGTCTTTTATTGGTAAACTGCACGGGACATTATTATAATCAGAAAATCAAATCAGTACTCATGTTCCCCTAATTAGGTTAACCCTCCTGCTGTTTGAACAGCCACAAACAGTCAAAAAAATCAATCCCCTTCCCCTGCCATGCCTTTTACACAGGCAAGTCACCAACAGTCGGATCATATTTCAAGCAAGCACTGTGACAAGTCAAATTTGGTCAACAGACAAAAACAGACAGGAAGTGGGCACAGCTGGCTTACCAATCACTTACAGTCAAAGCATATCAGGTTACATAAATAGTCATAGCCAGCCAATACTGCTTAGCTCTTAAATGTTGAAAACAGTGACTTGATTTTGACTGCAAGGACAACTTGGCATAGAATGTATGTTTGCATACATCTATGGAGGGTTAATAATATTAAAACCTTGAATACACGTAAACCAAGTGAATGAAATGATTGAGGCATTTGCATATTTTAAGGGAATTCCAATTTTGCGTAACTGATAAGCACAGAAAATATTTACTTAGCAAAAATCGAGTTACCAGTCAAAGTGTCATGCAAAGTGTTTTGCTTGTCACTGGTACCTGGCTGATTTTTGCTTAGCACAAAAAATTGATATTTAAAGCAGCATTTTCTGCAAAGCAGCTTCATGGATATTGGATCCCGATTTCAAAACCAGACCAAAAAAACCTTGAGAATCATCCGTCAATTCATCACTTTTTTTACGCCACCAACGCTGCACTCCTGCACAGATTTTAATATTAAATACATGAAAATCACATGCAAGTTTGAGACTGGACTGTTTATCCCCTGCCCGGCGATCACGGTATTTATCAGGGGAGGAGGTTCTTAATAACTGGAGGCACAGATGCCCGATAGATCAGCAAGTCCCAGTAGTAATGACCCACTGGCCATGTCTTGTAATTGCGCCCTGAGTTGAGAGAGATACAAAGCTGCCACCATGAAAGGGCCCCCTCCTGATAAGCATATTCTCAGGTTAATGGCATATCCTGCCGTTGACATCAGCTACAAAAACATTGTAGACAAAATGTACTTGTAATTTCCAAAAAAGAAAGAAAAGATGTTACATACATATGTCATTTCTTTAAAACAGACAAAATGAATTTCAGCTTTGCCAATTGCTCCTTCGATAGGATCTTATGAAAACCCTGGTACCTGTAGTTCAGTTGAATTGTTGAATAGAAAAGACAAAATATCACCTCAATCAAAGATGGCGCATATAACACATCACATAGCCAAGCTGTGGAGCTGTACGTGTACACATACAAATTACGTATGTATACAAGCATGTAAATGTACGAACACTTGCACTGGTAATCTGCTGTAACACGTGTTCAGCCTACATGTACATGTGTATACAATGTACATAAATAATGTGGAAAGAGCATCTCTATTCACTGGTACCCGGTATCCACATGTATTGTACGTGTACCTTGTAGGCATACATGTACGTTCATGATGTACATGTACATTGCACATGTAAGTATGCATGCACTTTGTTTAACATTTGGCCATCCACCTCTGTGTACACACACTGTTCAAATATGAAGACATTAACATCAACTCATCACGATGCATTATATACATGAAACCGGACTAGCCACCTCGAACCAATCCATTTCACTGAACAAATCAATTTACCGCCCCCCCCCCCTTGAAAGCACTGTCATGTGTCGAATGCATTGCTTTTAAAATGAACATAGTGACACATAAGTCCAGCAGTCGCCCTTGGTCTTTATTACGGTACATGATGGCAGGTCGGCAAAAGATCAAAGCTTCACACGTCCACAAGGAGATGATTGTTGTTGTGTTGCATGTCGGTCATGGGAGTCCAAGGCTGTTACTGCAGTAATTGTTTGAGTGCACTTTGTCAGTAATGTTCTTTATCTCTTCAGTGATTTGTACTGTACATGTACCTGTACAGTGCGTAATATAGATGTACCCATACAACGCACGTGGGAACACATGTACATGCAATGCATGTCTAGAAGTGGATTTCTTGTATTCGTCCTTTAACCAGGCATGCAACTTTTTCCTCGGATCAGCTGATTTCCTCGTGTTTCACTTCACACTCATGCCATTAAAAAACGGAAAAACACTGTACAAAGTCTTGTGAAGATTGGAGTTTCCTCTTTTTTTTTGTCACAAGTTTCCAAGTTGCATGCCTGTTCAACGTTCTTGTCGTTTGCCGAGTTGCCGTGCCTCTCAAGAAAATTAGAAACAAGATACATGTGTAATGTATTAGCTGTAATGCAGCGTTTGCTATGATTATAATATTATTAAAAATAACTGCAGTTTTGTGTGCAATTGCAACGCACCAAGAATGCTCCAGGTTCTTTTGAAATTAAGATTGATTTTTCCCCCTCTTTTGGTGCGTATCCATGGAAGTCAATGGGATAGAAAGCCAGATGTTGCCATGACGTCATTTCATGGATATTTACTTCTCAATGTCTCTGCGGGTAGAGAGAGAGAGACGAAGTGTAGAGAGAACGTCCATCTTAGCAAGAGCCGTTGACCTTTTTTTGTTGTTTTGTTGGTCCATTCAGCAATTGGTTCCCATCCATTTTTGCCCTTCCCTGGCCTCCCCTGCTCAGCCAACCACACACTTTGACAATGCACGCTATCCACTATCCCTGAGTGAAATCGGCCTCCCGTGTAGGGCACGGGACAATTTTTTATTTTTTTTTCCCTGCTTTTTTTTTTCTTCTTCATCCGTGGCACTGGTGATGTGCGTTCAGCACTGACTGTGCCGAGGACTGGTGTCCCACTGGGCAGCTAGTGTGGCCGAAAAATTGTGTTGATCTAAGCCTTACTGGGTACAAAACTGGCAAATGGCCCCAGCCGCAGAAAGTGTGAAAGTGCTGCGAACTTGCGCCAGAACCGGGGCCTTCCGGTTAATGACCAAAAAGTGATTTTTGTCACCTGAATATCAGACTCTATAGAGTGGGCCCCGACTTAAATGGAAATTGTTGAAAGGTGTTCGGTGTTATGCTGTTGTAAGAGATGTCCAGATCATGATATTCACAATGTACTGGTACATGCGTAATGAATTTTTGTGGTAATTGTTCAAAATAAATAATTAAGATATGTACAGGCATGTAGAAAATAAAGTAAACGCATGTATACATGCATGTCAATGACATTTGTTGTAAGCCTATGTGCAGTGGCATAGCAAGGTCATTTTTATTGGGGGGAAAAATGTCTTGAAAAGGACATTTGCACATCCGTGCTGAAATGCGGACACATTTTTCTCCACGGACACTTGGCCTCCGTAAAATCAAATAGGGAGGGGGGGGGGGGGGGGGGGGGGGCTGGTACCATTTGTTGATGGGGGTGCTGTTCAAAACCCACGATTATGCACAGTAATGCACAATTTTTCAGGGCAATAGATGAGCAAAATTCAAAATGCGCCTGTAACGGCCGATGGCACAAAAAGGGCATGATTTTTTTTTTAGCTCAGAACAGAAGGGCACTCTTTACAAATATTTGGGGGGGGGGGGGTAAGCGCTGGTGAAAAAAAAGGGTATTTCAAAAGGGCAGTCTTTACAAAATATTTTTGGGGTTACCCCTTACCCCCCCCCCCTCCCCGCTGGCTACGCCTATGACATGTTTACACTGAAGTACACGAGCTTGCGATGTTCAAGCCCGTTATTTTTTGTACACTGTTAAAGAGCTCAACTCAATTTCAGCACAGGTTGTGAACCATGTTGACTTTGAGTAATTGTAATACCGGTAGGCATGTAGCGCTAATAAAAGACAGACACGGTTTTCATGGGTGCATCCCAAAAACGAAAATACAATAAGTATGAGTTTAGAGACTCGATCAAGCTTAGATATCAGTCCGAGGTTTTTTTTATGATGTAGTACGCGTGAGAGTGCATATCGATTTCGCACACGTACGCTGACTGAAGACGTGATTTTTTTCCGAGGGAAGTTCCGAGATTCATTGCCAGTTGCAGTAAGTGTGATTTCTCTTGCTTCATTGTGAACCCAGGTGTTACCTGAAAGGAAGCAGCGCCCGTGTGCCGAGTCCCTATCACCCCAGCTTCACGTCTTTCGCGCCAGCTGTATCCACCAACGATTCGGAGCTGCAGAGCTTGTCGAGCGATGCCATTTCGGATGACACCATGTCGCTGACGGACTCCAGTGTGTAAGTACAATGCATTGTCGAAAAGGGAGGGGCACTTGGCGTCATATTGGCTCCCCGTTGAGCGTTGACACGTTAAGCTTTTTTTTTTTCATAAAAAAAATCTCATAAATTCCTAGCTGTGTGGAGATTTATTTCGCAAGTTGCGTTGTGTGTAGTTTTGGCAGTGTCACTGTACTGGTATGGTGATAGGTATTTCCTGAAAGGTTTCATGTCATTTTTTACTTGAGCCCTTGTCGTGCACCTGCTTGTTGAATGTACCATAACCTGCAATCATTTCTTTACCATTTTGTCTGTCATGACCTTTTTTTTTTTTTTTGGTTAACAATCGCAATGGTTTTACAGTAATTAATGTGACTTGTCAATTTTGTGAGCGCAGCAGTGATGTCGTGATCGGTAGAGCTTCAGATCAGACCTCAAAAGGTTGCCTGCACTAAAACTGCTTGTGTCAATTAGTCTGCCTGCCTGTGCACATAGTTTGTATTGTATGAAAAGGATGTGACCTGGCCCAGTTATGTCATCCGGGTTCATTACTACATGAAAGTACAACACTAGGCTTGCTTAAGGCCTTTTTCACACTAGACAAATCTCGGGGTTGACACAGGGTTGAAAACGTGCAGCGTTTCACACTTGAAAAATTTCACCCTGCGTCACCCCGAGATTGATTTCAACCCGGAATGAACTTAAACCTTGCCAGACCAAGTCGAGATTTTCTACCCGGGTTGAAATTCTTGCCAGTGTTGGAAGCGGTAGTAATCAAGTGAAATAAGCTAGGTTTGCAAGAAACAAACTGTGAAACGATGCGGTGTCGAATGCAGGTTGAAAAATAAAAGTCCAACCCAAGGTGGTACTGGGTTCGCCCAGGGTTGAGTGGCTCTAGTATAAAAGGGCTTTATCTTAGTCAACTTGACCTGAAAGTTTGACAGGTTTTGGCAGTTGTGGACCGTCTTTGACTCGGTTAGTCATTCAGTGACTCAGTCAATCAGTTAGTCAATCAGTTAGGTAGTCTGTCTGTAAGAGAACCCTCTCGACTAGCAAAAAGAACAAATAACGGTAAAAAAATAAGAAAAAAAAACATGACCGAAATAAGGTTTACTCAACTGAAACTAAGTTACAATCAAGGCATCTTCTTTTCAAAAATGAAATATTAAGTTTCAAAATGGTGCTTGTAGTGGACAACTAATTCTGCATGTTGTTTTGAAAATAGCTCACAGGCATCAGGCCCCACAGCCCTTTGTCATGCATCTCCTTCCCCCTTCCCCCCCCCCCCCCCCTCCTTCCTTTCCTTCACCATTTGGTTGGATGCATGTGTCGGAGCGAATGTTTTGATCAGTCAAGCGTTGACCTGTGAGAGGTAAATGTTTGCCGTGAGAGCGCTGAGCCACAATCATCTCCGTGACAGTCCCGTTTCTGGTCGGCTGCCCACTTGTCAGATTATTCAACCCAGGAATGTCGGCCCTGAAGTCGGCTTGCAACATAGAGAGGGTGTTTTTGTTTTTTTCCCCAAGCCGAACCACCAGACCATGCGTGCATGCATGCTTGTGCCTTTGAGTGTCTGGTGCCGTTCTGTTCTTGGTCCGGACTGAAACTCCTTACAAAACACGCTATTCAAATATCGAGTTGACTGTTTGGCGCCCTCCCACTGAAATGTTTAGTCAGACAAGAAGTACACAGATTTTAATGCTAAAATTTGTAATTTGATTATTTTGTAAAAAAAAACCACCTGAATTTGTTCATCATCAAGACAAGAACTATACCCAAAAGAATGTGTGAAACCTCCCTAAACCTGCAAAAATCTGTCACTTACTTCAGAACCGTAGGTTCCGGAATGATTGATGCGGTCTTGTTGGTTCAACTCATAGACTTTCTTTTAACAAAATTACAAAACTGAGAATGAAACCTCAAGTTGAATGATATGCCTTATGCACATTTATGTACCTGAATCCATCATTCATGAAAGTACAAAGCCTGGACATTAATTTCAGTAAAGGCCTGCAAGTATAAAAGAGAGACAATGACAATTTTGGCAGCCAGAGTAATGTACAGTGCGAACATGCACATACAGTAAGTATGTAGTTCATGTATGCTGACAGGTGTGTTCAGGGTTTGAATTCAGGAAGGGCAACCAAGTCATTTGGTTGTTGATTTAGTGGGGCTTATTAAAGGGAATATATACATCATTTGCTTTTGCTGTAATTTTCAGAAATGGATGGAATTGGGGGGTTGGAAATATATAGCAAATATAGTTACGCTGATTTTTTTTTGAGGTATTGGGTTCGAAAATGCTATAAAAACAAGAAAAACAATCAGTTTCCTGTAGTCTGGTTCCCTGACTCCATATAAGAAGAAACAGCAGTTTACATACATTGTAAGGTCAGGGAACCAGTCTAGCTGGCTTGTACCCGTTCATAGGTGTGTAATTGATTGCAAACAAGTGCGATGGTCAATTGGGGCCAGTATTTGAAAAAATGCCAGTTTTTTTGCAACGCTGGTCGGCCGATCAGCGTTGGAAATTGATACAAAAATACCACTTTTCTTGAAAATGACAGTATACCAGGTGCCATGATTGTACAGGATGCTTTACACTGTCATTCACTAACAGTCCAGCAAGGTATTTCAAAATGATTTGTAGTTTTATTTTTGATGAACATTTACAAATGTTGTATTTTCCCTTTAACAGCTAAACAAAAAAACCCCACAAAATCAAATCAATTTTTCATTATAAATAATGTGTACTAGAATCTTAATGTTCATTAGCCCTAACCTTACCAACTCCATCAAAATCCATTTTTTCCATTTTGGGGGATTTTGGCAGGTAAGCCATGTGTATCCCATACCAAGTCCATCAAAATCCACCAGCACTGCTGGTGGATTTCAATGGATTTGGTCCTGAAACATAATGCGAAGCAGAGTGAGTGACGGATTTTGAATAGACATGGTCTTCTACTCAGTAAAACTAAGTACAGATGTCCGGGTTAATGCAGGAGAGTATCCTCTCTGGTGCACTTGAAATGCTTGTGTGATCCAGTTGAAGATTCTCTCTGGCCGTCTCATTTTTCAAAACATTACTTTCGCGGCGCGCTCATATTTTATGTGAGTAACAGTACTTGGTGTCCCGGCAAGTACAGGTCTAATCCACAGTCATTCCCCAGATATCAGGCTCATCAGCCAGTCCAATTGGCAAAAAAATCCCTCAGAGGTTTGAATGAAGACATTGGAAAGGTTTGCCGACTAAAACGGAGCCTTACCCGGTGACCCAGTTATGATCTTATCACTAAATTGAGGTTTCTTTATCCTGGGAAGTATAATGAAATCAGTGGAGTGCCCCAGGTAGAAATGCAAATCAATGTCTTCCAGACCGGCAACTCATTCAGGGAGAGAGAGAGAGTTGGCATGTTCCAATACAGCACATGAGCACGGACGTAATTCAAAGTGACAATTCGCCTCATCTGCATAAAGAGGTTTTGTTAAGTATTTTGGAGTTTTCTCCTGGGCCGTTCCTGTCTTTTTTTTTAATGTTGATGATAGAACTGCGAGCTTAGTATTGTGTACGTGTAATTGTCACCGTGATCTGAAAGGTTCTATTAAAAATGAAAATCGGCCAGGCCGTCTGAGCGACTCGCACTTATATTCTATTGTGCAGGCTTTTATCTTGGAATCAAATTTTCATAAAGCAGCAGTCCCTTTGTTCTGCCGCCGTGCTCCCTTTCGCGTGCCGTCAGCCGAGAAATCTGCCGATAAATGTCTATTTGAACATGCCTCCCTGATCAGATTGTCTAGGGGAGAGGCGGCGGCGATTGAAGTTTAGGCCCGGCATGTCCAAACCCTCTGACAGGCTGTTTGTACTGCTTCCCCCTGCTGCCTGCCGCCGCGCTGAGAAACACTGTCAGACTTGTGCTTGAGATTAAAGCGTGGATGTCGGCGTTGTCTGCTTGTTTTTTTGATCAAGCCCCCAAAGAGGAGGTCTGCATTTTTGAACTGTAACAGTTGTTGCTCTCGCCCCGCTCAAGAAATTAACTTCCCCGGGTCCCCTGGGGAGAGCCAAGCTAAAGCAAGCCTCCAGTTCAGGAGAGTTGAGAGTTGATTTTTCCGATGTAATTCAATTTGATGGTGGCGGCAAGTGAAACAGAAGGCACCATGTGTGACCAGACAACGCCGTTGGTTTCAAGCTGGGAAAAACGGTGGTCCCGCACGCAGCGGGCCGCAGCTAAACTCGCCCTGCCAATTACCAAATATAACATTGTTACAACACTGATCGACTCTGGTTTTTCTAAAAGCCTTAAAAGGAAACGGGACTGAATCTGATTGGCTTGTGTCAAGAGATTTCTAAACCGGATTATCGTTTAAAGTTGAGTGGGTGCAACAACGTGGCTGGAATAACGACTCCTAAATCGAATGGATACGTAACAGCTGAGACGAGTGAGAGAGATACACGCAAATGAATTGTTGGAAAGTCCACCAAATATGGTTTTTAAATTATCGGATTCGGATATTTAAACAAAGTATTTACCACGTGGGATACAACAAAATGATGCAGCTTTAAAATAAATGACACTCAAGTTTCTTAGGATTTGATATTTCCTATTTATGCACAACGGTACTTTTAGTTTATTCGTTCTGCAAACCGAAACATCCTGCCCACGCTCTGCAGCCTCTTTTCCTGGACTTTACACACAGTGCAAGTTGCGAGCTGCGGTGTGCTCAACCCGCAGAGTTTCACCACTTCTGTGTTGATACCGTCCTTTCCCTCCTGCAGTCCCGCACAAAAAAACACTCCCCACAAGCCACCTTGTCCAATTGAATAGGCATTTCTGCCAAAGCCGTAGGTGTTAATCCCATCTCAAAGAAAACCTCTTGAAAGAGCCTGCTCTGTGCATCTCATTTGCATGCACAGACAGGGTCTTTTTTTTTTTTTTTTCTTTCAATAAGAGTGGCTGGAGAGAGTGAGAGATCCCCATCTCTGCCTTTTGGGGGTCCGGTTATTCTTCCCCGATTCTTTTCTTTTGA